CTATTTATTCTGCTGTCACAGCCAGGCACAGCGTGTTGTGTTGGCCATGGCTCACAGGGAGAGCACAGCTGCAGGGATTTCAGAGGCACCACTGCAGCTGGGAAATTGCTTCAAGGCTCTGTGGTACCTGGGCAGGGCAGGAACAGAGGGAGAGCAACTGCACAGGGCTGTGCAGGGGAAGGAATTCGCTTGCAGCATGGAAAAATGGGTGTGGAGGTGTGCTCCAAGGTGTTTTACTGCCCAGAACTGTGCAGAATGAAGGAACTCACTTCCAGGATGGGAAAAATGGGTGTGGAATTATGCTCCAAAGTGTTTTGCTGCCCAGAACTGTGTAGGGGAAGGAACTCCCTTCCAGCATGGTAAAAAATGAGTGTGGGAGTGTGCTTTAAAGTGTATTCCTGCCCAGAACTTTGCAGAAGGAAGGGCCTCACTTGCAGGATGGAAAAATGTGTTTGGAATTATGCTCCAAAGTGTTTTGCTGCCCAGAACTGTGCAGAGGGAAGGAACTCACTTCCAGGATGGAAAAATGAGTGTGGAAATGTGCTCCAAGGTGTATTCCTGCCAAGATTTGTGCAGAGGGAAGGAACTCTTCCAGCATGGAAAAAAATGGGTGTGGAAATGTGCTCCAAGGTGTTTTACTGCCCAGAACTATGCAGAGGGAAGGAACTCACTTCCAGAATGGAAAAATGGGTGTGGAGGTGTGCTCTGAGGTGTTTTTCTGCTCAGAACTATGCAGAGTGAAAGAACTCATTTCCAGGATGGAAAAATGGGTGTGGAGGTGTGCTCTGAGGTGTGCTACCACTCAGAACTCTTCAGAAGGAAGGAGCTTACTTCCAGAATGGAAAAATGAGTATAGAACTGTGCTTTAAGGTTCATTCCTGCCCAGGAATAATTTTCTGAGCCTGTGAACAATGTCTTTTGGGAAGTGACACTTGGTACAGCCAAGAAACCCACAGAGGGAGAGGGATAAGGGTAGGAGGAGGGCTGAGCTGGCTGAATTCCTGGGACAGGGCACTGAGAGAGCAGGATGTGCTCCCCAGCACTGGGAATTCTTTGCCCACTCTCTCATTCCCTGGGGGTGTGGGGTTCCCAGCACAGCTGGAGCAGGATGTACTCCCCAGGGACTCACTGCCAGCACTTGGGGCTGCTCCTTGTGTCTCCAGCAGGAGATGGAGATTAATGATGGGCCCCACCCCATGGTGTCTGCTCAGAGAATCCCTCCTCAGCTCCTGGAGGTGAATCCAGCCCTGATGGCCAAGCCAAACACAAAAAGTCAAGGAATGCAGGAGGAAAAGGGAGAGTCCATCCTCACCCTCCAGCCCCCCTGGCATGGGTCCCTCCTCCTGCCACCACAGCAGCAAAGCACGGGCAGGTGGCTGATCCAGGATCTCCACAGGCAGAGCATGAGCAGAAAACACATCCCAGAGAAAAAGGACCCACAGAGGCACCTTCCAGGGACATTGATCCCAGAAGAAGCTTTGCCTTGGGGTGGGTTGAAGCTGACGCCTCAGGTTTGGCTTTTATATTTTCAGATTCTGTGCTGCTTTAGTGTGTGGGTCTGGGTTCACATCAGGGGATGCTGAGCTCTGGGCACAGAGCAGGGAGACAAAACAATTCCTGCTCCAGCTGGGCACCAAGGACAAATGATCCAAATCTCAGCCCAAGAGCACAAACCCCGTGGGCTGGAGAGAGAAAAACAAGGATGGGACTGCAGGGGCTAAAGCTGGAATGGGACAATGAACTGCAAGGTGCAAATGGAGCAGAACTGATCCAAGGGAGAGACCCCGGGAGCGCTCGGGCATTTTGGGACCATTTTGGGTTCATCTTGGGACCATTTTGGGGCCATTTTGGTTCATCTTGGGTTCATTTTGGGACCATTTTGGTTCATCTTGGGTGCATTTTGGGACCATTTTGGTTCATCTTGGGTGCATTTTGGGACCATTTTGGTTCATCTTGGGTTCATTTTGGGACCATTTTGGTTCAGCTTGGGTGCATTTTGGGACCATTTTGGTTCATCTTGGGTGCAGCCCTGGCTGGGCTCTTGTGCTGCCCAAGGTGGATCTATTGAAGTATTTTAATAAATCCCTGCTTTATTCTTTAACTCTGCCCAGCCTCTGTTCTAGCCCAGCCTTCTCAAGGCATCCGTTTCTGGCGACCACAGCAGGACACAAGACATCAAAGCTCCCCCAAATGCTCCTCCAGCTAAACACAACTTGCAGCTGCTGCCCACTGAACTTTTTGAGGCAGGAAATGAAGGCCTGCAGGAAAAGTGGAGGGTGAGGGAACCACTGAGGGCATGGCCACAGAGGAAGATGCTGACCAAGGCTCGCTGCATCCCCAGAGGTCAGGGATGCTGCTGAAAAGCAGCCCTGGAATCCAGGCAGCCTCTGGCACTGCTCATCCCTGCCAGAGAAAATGCACAGAAATGCAAGAAAGGACCACATCCTGTCCTCCTCTGGATTCAGATCTGCCCACTGGGTTTTGTTGGACGAACTAAAAATTGCTTTTTTTGCACAACTTTTTTTTTTTTTTTTTGAGCCAGTAGAAATAGAACAAGGGCAAGAGAGAGCAAAATCATCTCAAAAGGCAAGTCTGCAAAACCCACTGAAAAATGAAACGCAGCATTTGCCCTGGTGTCCCTTTTTAAGACAGCTCTTGTCATTTCCCAGGGCTTGTGCTGTGGCAACAGGAGAGGGCTGGAAGAGATTGAAGGGGCAGCTGATGCCCTGTTTTGGGTTCAGAAAGCAGCGTTTTGGCAGGGAACAGCCGGCTCTGGCCAAGGAGGGAGCGTGTGCTCACACTTCGGTCCTGGAAGGATTCTTGGTGAGCTTAGGCCAGATGTCCCCGAGGGTTGCCAGGAGGATGCAGCAGGGCTGGGGATGCTGAAACCCCACCAGCCCTGCACTCTGAGGGCACTCAGAGCCCTCCTGGCCTCCAGAGGGGCACAACTGCAGAGAAACCCCCGGAAGATGCACCACAAACGGGCAGGGAAGAGGAGATCCAGCACCCCTGAGCTTGGCTGGGCTCTGGTGGCACTGCCCTGTGCCAGCTGTGACACAGACAGGGTGACAGCCCCTGCCAGGCTTGGGGCACTTTGTGCACTCTGAGCCACCCTGATGGGTCAGGAAACTTTGGGAAGCCAGGTGGGAAAGCTCCCCCTCTCTTCTCTTGGGGACTCCTGCATGGAGGGAGACCCTCATGGAGACCCTCTGGCTTTTCTGACCCAGAGAAGCCAAACACGAGGCTTGTTCCCCTGTTCTGCACCCTGAAGCTGCCAGGGCACTGCTGGGGTCCCCCCAGGAATGCCCATGGAGGGGTGCAGGAAGGGATTTGTAATCCAGCTGGAGTGGGAACGCGCCCAGAGCCAACATCACAGACTGCACGTTTCTTCCTCTGCCTTCCCCACACCCATAAATATTCAAACAGGAAAATAAAATTATTGATCAGCTGCCTTCCCATTATAGCAACAGCCACTGTCCTGCTGGCTTTGGCCATTTCCAAAGCCCCTGCCACAGAATTAACCCTGCTGGGAGAAATATTATTCCTAATTCTTGAATTCCTTCACCAGAACATCATCTACATTCCTCAGGGCTGGCACAGACACCAGAGTTTGGAGTTTCACACAGAAAGAAGATATTTTCCCCACCCTTTCCCCAGTGCCTCCATTTTCCTCTCCACACCCTTTCAGCCCCATCTCTGCCAGGCAAGCCAAGAAATCCCAGCCCTTGTGACCTTCCAGCCCAATCCTGGTGACTCCACTCACTGAGGGGGATGCTCAGGGACACTAAAAAATCCGAGTGTGTGCAGAGCAGTGCAAGAGACTCCAGAGTCCCTGCCAGTCCCTCACATTGGGCCACAAACTCCCTGAATGCTCCTGCATCACTGTTCCTGCACATCCAGGCTGCTACAGGGACCGGTGGCACTCTGGGGCTCAGGATGTGTTCACACCAGTGGGGACTTGTGGGACACGTCGTTATTTCAGTAATCAAAGCAAACGCTTCCTAACCCCGTGCCAGGAGCCATCGAGCAGCCCCTGGAGGCAAGGGGAGGAGGGGAACGGGAGCAAATGGATGTGGCAGCAGCAGGATCCTGCCCGAGGCAGTGAGGGATGGCCAGGCAGGAGCTCTGCTCGCTGGGGATGACTGGGGAGGGGCTCCACAGCTGCCAGCATCGGGCTCTCCTCGGGGCTTTCCCAAACATCTGGCTGAAGGCACCTCCCAGCCCTGCTTGAAGTTGTGCTGTCTGCTCTGGCTGAGAGAAATTCGGAGTTTCACGGTCAGAGACCCAGGAACTGAGTCAGAGAGAGGCCCAGCAGGGAGAGGAAAGCATAATTTGTGGGCAGCTTCATTGATCAGCCCTGACTTTCTCCCTCACAACCACTGGCTTTCATCCACTCCCACTCCACACCACAACACAGACATCCCTCCTCAGACGGCAAAGCCTTGCTCAGCCATCTCCTCTTCCCCAAGAAAAAGACACCACTTGGGAAGCTTTTCCCTTTAAGCAGCCTCAAAGTTGGCTCCCGGCGCTGCTGGCACGAATGAAAGCGATTTCAGTTCCCCCTCCTCCTGCATCCCATCCCTCTGCTGTGCTAAGAAAAGGCAGAGGATGACCAAGGAAGGGGAACAGCAACTCCGGGCGGCCTCTCACCTCCCTCCCCTAATTGTGCACGGATGCTCGGGAGGATGCGGGGCCAGCGAGGGAGCCCGGGGCAGCGCAGGGTCGGGAGGGCGATGCTGGGAGCTCCTGGAGCGATCCCCGGGGAAAGCAGCTCGGTGTCCTCAGGCAAAGGGGGGGCAAAGTGAATCTCCAGAGCACCGCAGCCCCCCGGACCCGCTCTGCGTCCTCTCACTGCGCTGGGAGGGCTGGGAAAAACCGCTCCGAGCATCTCCTGCTCCCTGCCGTGCCCTGCCCGCGGCACCCACACACACACCCTGGGCATAAAGGACGCGTGTCCTGCTCGGCTCGGCCATGCAGCCAGGGGAGGCAGCCAGAGTTACCTTGTGAGCACAGCCGGAGCCGCCTTCTGTCTCCATCGCGGCCGGGAAGCGTCTCCCATTCATGCTCTAATCCCTGCGAACAGAGGCACGATTCAAAGCGGCTCCTCGCCCATCCAGCAACCTCCGCCTCTTTCTCTCCCCCCTTTCCGCCTCGTTTGTTGCGTCCGGCTTTGTGGTGCTTTTCTCGCTTTGTTTAGGTGTTTGGGTTTTTTTTCTAAATGTTTTCTTTCTTAATCCAGGCAGCAAGCACGGCGCTGCTTCATCGCATCCCTGCCCGCGTTTCCCTCGGCCAGGAGCAGCCTCGGGGAGCTCCTCGCTGTGCTCCGGCTCGCAGCTCTGCCTTCTGCAGCCTGGCGTTCGGGGGAGAAAGAGAGCGAGCAAACAGGGAGGAGGAGGAGGAGGAGGAGGAGGAAGAAGAGGAGGAGGAGGCCAGCGGGATGCGGGAGGAAGGAGCCAGAGCGTGGCTGCTTTGTATCCAGAGCAGCGCCGGCAGCTCTGGCTGCCAGAGGAGGGGATGCTCTGGGAATGGTCTGTACCAATTGATCCCGCTCCGGCAGGGGCACCGCTCCCTGCGACAGCGGCAGGGAAAGGGCCCCGCGAGGAATTGGATCCGCTCTGCTCACCCTGAGCACAGCCCGAGCTGCGGCCGCGGGACCGGGGAGAGAGGGGATGGGATAACGGGATAACGGGATAACGGGATGGGATAATGGGGTGGGATAATGGGATGGGATAATGGTATGAGGATGGGATATGGGATGGGATAACGGGATAATGGGATGGGATAATGGGATGGGATAATGGGATAATGGGATGGGATATGGGATGGGATGGGATGGGATAATGGGATGGGATGGGATCCATGGGGTGGGATGAAATGAGCTGGGATGGGATGGGATCCATGGGATGGGATGGGATCCATGGGATGGGATGGGATAATGGTATGAGGATGGGATGGGATGGGATCCATGGGATGGGATGAAATGAGCTGGGATGGGATGAGATCCATGGCATGGCATGGCATGGGGATGGAGAGGCTCTGGCTGGGGAGGGGGCTCAGCATTGCTCAGAGGAAGCTCAGAAGGTGATCATGTGCTGGGTGTGAGGGTCCCCTCCAGCCCCCAGGGTGGCAGGCAGAGCTCTGCTCCGCTTCCAGCTCTTCAGAGCAGCCCCCTCCGCTCCTCTCTGCCCGTGCTCGTGCTGGTGGCTCCCAGCTGAGCCCAGCCAGGCTTTGGGAGCAGCGGGCAGCCCTCCTTACACCTCATCCCACTGCCCTTCCCTGCAGCACCAGCCTTCCCACAGCCCGCTCAGCCATCCCCACCCAAGCACTGAGCACCCCCATGTCCCTCCTGGGCGCTGCCCAAGGGTCCTGGCACTGGACAAAGGGCAGCAGGAGCGTTTTCCCATAGGAAGGAGGCTCTGGATGTGCCTAGGGCTGCCCTTGAGCTGTGACACCTGCACCCAGCCCAGCAGGCACACAGGACCTGTGTGTGACCTCTATCCGTGCACAGAACCACAGGGATGCTCCCTTCCTCCTTGGGGATCACTTGGAGGAGGCAGAGCTTCAGGGCACAGGGAGAGCAAAGGTCTCATCTCCTGATCCTGCCCTTTAGCAGCTGATCCTGCTCAGCAGGCTGAGCACCACAGTGAGTGTGTCTCCAAATGGGGATGAGGCACCTTTCACCTGTCCTGAGCTGCTTCCAACCACATCACCCCTCTCCAAGTACCCCCATTTATCTCTCCCTGTTGCACAGTGGACGTGCACAGATCCACGGATCCTCCCCTGCTGCTCCCTCTCTGTAAGGTTACAGTGCCATGGAAACCTGTAGGTATAGACAGATTTACTTATGCTTCACCAAAAAAGGAAGAACAAAGTAAAAAAAAAAAACAAAAACAAAACCCATCATTCTGGTGACTGGGGAAAGCTGGAGTACACAGGGATCTGGGATCCAGAGCGTGGAGCAGCCTCAGGGATCTTCACCAGGCATTCCCACCATTTTCACTGGATCTTTTGATTTTGAACCCACAGCATTCAGACTCCAGCTTTCACCTGTGCATCTCCAGGGGATGCAGAGATTTCTGCTGAGAAGTTTGGAAATCCAAACATCACCCACAAATGATCAGGCTCACTGACAAAGCCCAGCTGCACCCTCTGAGGCACAGGGATTCCCACATTCCCTCTTCCTGCAGTGGGGTGAGCTGGAGGGCTCCACACCCCTGCCTCAGCTGGAAATGAGCTTTGCTGAGCCTGGGCTGGACAAAGCAGGCAGATGATGCCTCCAGACCAAGGTGATGCTGGAAGGATGGAGCTTTAAGCAGCCTCTCCCTGCAAGCTGCACCTACTCTGTGGAACAACAGGATGAACAAGGACTGCCAGCCCAGAGTCCTTCATGCACAGCCAGGCAGCTCCTGCTCCTGCAAAACACAGCAGCTCCTGCAATCAAAGGGAATGTGGCCTTTTTTTGTCCTTGGTGTCATTTTCTGCAAGGTACCTAGGGAGAGATCAGCTCCAAAGACTCCTTGCCTGGGAATTTTGTGCCAGCTCAGCTAGTACTAAGGGTTTCACTGAGCTCCATGTCTATTAAAAATGCATAATGTCCACTTATATCAAAAGGGTGGATTCAGACCCAGTGCTTTTCCAGCGTGTCCCAGGCTGTTATGGCATGCTGGAGATGGATAGGAGCGATCTGTCCCTTGAGGCCCATATCAGAATGAGAAAAGGGCAAATTCAGTGAATATTTCAGGGGAAAAAAATGAGAAGAGGCATAAAAATGCTCCTGCCACAAAACCTAAACACATCAAAATTCAGGGGGGAGGGGAAGGAGATGTGCTACACCTGAGATTTATAAAATTATGGGTGAGCAGTAACATTTCAGGCTGAGTCCCGCACCAGAGCCTCAGAAGATTCACAAAGGTGGAAAACATTGGGAAAAGTATCAAGGAAGCTCAGGAGGGACACAGAGAGGCATTGCTTCATCCCTGTGGACAAAAACCCCAGCGTGACGCGCCCAGAGCTGCTCCTGGTGATCAGAGCAGCAGAACAACCATGCAAAAACACTGCCCTGACATTTCCCAAGGTTGTCCCTTTGAACCTGCACATATCCACTTGTCTGCACACTGCACGGGGCTGTGCCACGCTCCCCTGGGCCAAATTCCAGGAGAGGGAATGGGAGGAGAGGCTCAGGCGGTCCTGCAGGATCCTGGGATCATGGGGGGAAATCTTTGGCTGGATCCAGGAGCTTCAGGGAGGATGTGAGTCTGGAAGAGGCAGCATCGCTGTTGACAGCAGTGTGTATAAACAGAGCAGCATTTCCCTGCTCCCTCTCCCTTCTTATTATAGCACAGAACACCCCGAGTAAAACACATACACACAACAATCCACTATAAAAGGAAAACAAAGCCCGGAGCGTGAGTGCGCACACGCAAACACAGAGACACTGCTGGAGAGCACAGCGCACATCCAATACCTTAAATGTCATTTTTTTAAATATTAATGCTGTGCTTCTGGCTACGTTTATGTAAGGTTTGTTTCCACAGGGCTGGAGGCACGTGCAAACCTAAAGGAGACACTCGTAGCCCCACACCCTGCACTGCCCCAGCCACCCTGGGGCTCAGGGCTCAGTCCTTGACCCTGCTCTGTCTTGCCCTTCCCAACTCCACAGCCAGGCAGCAGCAGGGCCAGGGCAGGCTCGCTCCCTCCAGGCTTTTTTCCTGTGAGGAAGCAGAGCTGCAGCTCCCTGCTCTCCTCGCCCTGTGTTTGCCATCTGGCAGTGCTGGGAGTGTCTGTGCTTGGAGCCAGGCATGGACAGGAGTGGTGCCTCTCTCCAGTGAACAACCAGCTCACCAGCCAGGGCTGTGAGGGGCGAGGGAACAGCACCAGGGCCAGTCCTCAGTAAATAGCAGGGTATGTGTCTTAGTTTGAACACACAGGTGTCTGCTAAGGAAGGCAGGAGCCTCCCCTAAAATGGAAAATGTAAACCCCCTCTCTCTGAATTTCATAAATTTGAAATTAAGGGGGGGCTCTAAGGCAAAAAAATGGGATCAGAAATAACAGTTCTTTAATAGGGAAAAAAAAAAGATAAATAAACAATGCAGTAAACTAAAACACTGCCAGAGTTAGAACCCAGCCTGACACCCTGTGGGTCAGGGTGCTGGCTGCAGTCCCATTGGAATTGTGGCTCAGCCCTCCTGCAGTGCCAGGGCTGGTTCTGCTGGAGCAGGGATCCTGGAGAAAGGTGCAGTCTCTGCCTCTGAAGATCCAGGGCAAGAGGCAGCTGCTGCTCCTCTGGGGAATCCAGTGCAGAAGCCGTGCTGGTGTTCCAGAACCTCCAGATTATATCCAGGTAGGAATGCTTGGCTGGTGTTCCAGAATCTCCAGATTATATCCAGGCAGGAATGCTTGGCTGGTGTTCCAGAATCTCCAGATTATATCCAGGCAGGAATGCTTGGCTCCTCCCTCTGGGCTCACATCTGCCAATGGGATGCTGTAGTTCTTATCAGCCATGCAGGGACATTCCATAGCTGTTATCAGCAGGTGTCTCCCAGAGGGAGGAGTGGGTGTGGAAGAGATAAGGCAAACTGCCCACTGAGCAGAAGCCAGCTGCCATGCACACGGCAAACAGGACACAATGTGCTTGGCAATCCAGGACAGTGTGCTTCAGCAAGGCACACACAGACATGGGGCTGGGAGCAGCTGGAGAGATCCCTGACTGCACCTCACCTGGCTGTCAGCCTCTGCTGCTGCCCCAGCCACAGCTTCACACCCCAGCAGCACTGCCTCCTCTTCCTCCCCTCAGGGAGTTTCCCCAGGCCATCGTCACCTTGTGGTGCAGGACTGGAGACAGGGCTGCCTGCAGAAACAGGGAGAGCAGTGGCATGGGCCAGATGCTGAAACCCAGCCCTGAGCTCCTCAGACCCAGCCCTGAGCTCCTCAGACCCAGGCCTGCCCTTGGTTCAAAGGGACAGCCTTGGGAAATGCCAGGGCAATGTCTTTGCATGGTTGTTCTGCTGCTCTGATCACCAGGAGCAGCTCTGGGTGCCTCATGCTGTAATTCTCATCCAGAGGGATGGAGCAATGCCTCTGTGGGTCTCTGTGTCACTTGATGGTCCCTCTCACCTGCATGACAACCCAGAGGTTGTGGGAGGAAAAGAATGCCAAATTCTGGCCACTTTGCCAAACTAACACC